TAACAAAAGGTATTTCTCTTGCTTCTCAAGTATTTCCTCTGTAAGATTACCCTGGTATCTGAACTTTGTGAAAGTTTACAGACATGTTGAATTAGGATTAGTTAGGAGGGTCAGCCCCCCTGCTGGACTTAAGCCACTTACAAGGGCCATGAACTCTCAGGCTAAAAAAAGGCACATGGGAATGAAAGAATGATAGAAAATGGGGAGAGGACAGAGAGAAGATGTCCATTTGGATGGAGGGCAAAGCTCTGGGAAGCTGTACTGCTCCTTCATTTTAATTGGAGAGGAAAAGATTTGAGAGATGATGAATGATTAAACTGACCCAGCTTCGTAGTTTGCTTTTCCCCCCCCACACACACACCCTTGGCTCCAACTGCATTTTTTATTGCACTTTCCCTGAAAATCTGGGCAATGAGAATTAGCCAGTCAGGACTTAATGAGGGAAGATGGAAGAACTGCTGGATCATTCCATAGTTTAGGGCTCTGGCCAGAGGTTGGGAGTTTGATTCCCTACTGCGCCTCTTTGACAGGAGGTGGGCTGGGGGATCCATAGGGTCCCTTCCAGCTTGGCTGTTCTAAGGTTATTATTATTATTAGAATTTTGTTGAAGAGCTGGAGAAAGCATGCTGACATCCCAACACACTGGAAAATTTGCTCTTAAAAATGGAGTTGGGGGAAAGGATGATTGAGCAAAGTCACTTTTAAGAGACCTGCTCTGTCCACTTGGGCCTCTTAAGTCTACAGACTCACACTGCCTTGTCCCCCAGCATGTAAATATTGTGGAGGAGTGGCAGACAAAGGATTAACCTAACCCTTCCCCGATTATCAGAGACTGGAGGAAATAGGTTTGTCTAATCAGCTCCACAAAACTCTGATTCTCTCCATGAGCACCAGTGCTGGAAACGGCAGGCACATTTGACACCAGGATGGATCCTGTAGGCTTCTGAGTTGGGTGTAGGCAGGTCTTCTGCTGTGTTTGGCAAAATTCCCACTTCTTTCAGATCTAGACATCAGAAAGCTGCCTTCTACTAGGTCAAGCCATGGCTCTGTATTCACAGTCTGTCAGCTGCTCCCCACGATTCTGCCTGGATTTTTTTCCTAGGCCTGCACAGGGACATCAAGACTTGAACCTGGGACTTTTTGCAAGTAAAGCAGATCCTAGAATGCCCAGGGAGGAAACCAATATTTCCATGTATTGCTTTCCCAGCCTCTTAGGGGCATGTAATATCTTGTAAGGAGGAGGCTGATTCTAGCTTTATACCTGCTGGCTCTTCACTACAGGAAAGACAGGATATACCTGGAGGAAGACAGCTAATTAATAGGTACATTTTGGTACCATGTGTAGAAAAAAAGCCTAAACAATCTGAAAATATGGTAGACTTCCATTGACCCATTTTCCTCCTATTGTCCATCTATCTGTTTTATCTGGATGCTTTATATCCATGACAAAAAGGTATCCTATCATCTGCTTACCACAAGCTGAGAACATTTATGGCCAAAACAGATGGCTTGGGTGAAGTGAATGGGCCATTCATGGGCAGGGCTTTAAAATGACAAGGACTACAACTCCCAGAATCCTCCCAGCTATAAGAATCCTACCTAAGGGGAGTTGTAGACCAAAATATCTGAAAGAGGCCAGTTTGGGAAAAGCTGTGTTAAAGAACTGGCATGTCCTTCGAGCTGGGGGTGGCTGGGTGAGGAGGACCAACCCAGGAACATCCGACTGGGGCTGTTCCAATTAGGTTAACCATCCAGGCTGCAAAGTTTGCCCCTGGAAAAGGTGACAAGTTTATGTGTCTTTCGCTAAATCTGGTGTGGATTTTGTTATGTCTCCACACACACCCCATTTCCTTCTAAAATTAATTACAGGGAGGAATACGGAAAGGGGAAAGCATTTGCTGCTAGCTTTATGGCATGCTGGACTTTTCCCATGGGAAAGTTGAAACTAGGATAAAACCTTTAAGACCGGGCGAGACATTAAAAGCAACAGAAGATTCCACTCCATATGCTTGGATTTATGCTCCCGTCAGAACAGTGTGTTTCACCCGCAGGGTTTGTGAAGGCAGACATTCCATAACCCCCCCCCCCCCCAGATAAAAGAGCCAACAAGTTTGGGAAACATTTCCCCCCTTTTTTTGTTTAAGTAATTCTCTTCTCTCCTTCCCTGGCAGGGGAGCCCACAGAAGACCATCTAAGCAGCAAAATTAAGTCTGAAACACAGCCATGGCTTTGCTTCACTGAGGTTGCCCCCTGGCGCTAAGGCCAGTTTTGGCAGCTGAGTGCTAAACCCTAAGAATAAAATTGATGGATAATGTCTCAAGAGCAGTTTTGCACAACCCCTAAAGCTGTATTCTTTCATTAAAGAGCCATGAGTTTAGACATATTTACATACAGCAGAATGTCTCAATCTGACTGTTACAGAGACAAAGTATGATTATTGTTGTGGGTTTTTCAGGTTGTTTGACAAAGTATGATTGTTTTGAAAACAAACATCTAAAACAATTAATTTTCTTTGGTATTCTCGTACTTCTAGAATTTAACTAGCAAAGAGATCCAGTGTGGCAGTGTGTTGGGACTCAGGAGGCCTGGGTTCAAATCCCCACTCAATCTGAGTAATGTTTGGCCAACCACGGGCTCTCAGCTTGATCTACACTACAGGGCTGTTGATGAGTATAAAGCGTTGGGGGAGTGGGGAGAGCCATGTGCCCTGCATTGAGCTCACTACGGAAAGGGCAGGATATACCTGGAGGAAAGGCAGCTAATTAAAAGGTAAACAATCCAAAACAATCTGAACATTATTTTGACTTCCACTGGTGTATTGTTCACTTATCTGCTGTGTACTCATATCCATGACAAAAATTCATGTTATCACCTGCTTAACACAAGCTGATAACTTTAACCCAAAACAAGAGGCTTGGGTGGAGTGAATGGCCATTCATGGGCAGGGCTTTAAAAACAACATGAACTACAGCCATCAGGATCTGCCCTAAGAGGAGTTGTATGTATGTATGTATGTATGTATGTATGTATGTATGTATGTATGTATGCATGTATGCATGCATGCATGCATGCATGCATGTGTGTGTGTGTGTGTGGGTGTGTGTGTGTGTGTGTGTGTGTGTGTGTGTGTGTGTGTGTGTGTGTGTGTATGTATGCATTACATTTCTATCCCACCCATCTAGTTGTTTCGACTACTACTCGTGGACAAACATATCTGAAAGAGACCAGTTTGGGAAAAGCTGTGCTAAAGAGCTGGCATATCTTTTGAACTGAGGATGGGGAATTCAGGAGAACCTACCGAGGGAGCTTCCAACTGTGGCTTTTCCAATTAGGTTAACCATCCAGGCTGCAAAGTTTGCCTGTGGAAAAGGTGACAAAGTTTGACATGGACTACAACACCCAGAATCCATCGGGTGGGAAGAATTCTGGAAATTGTTATTCACAAAAGTAACTTTTCTAAGCAGTGTTCATGGGAATATATGTGTGGTTTATGCCTTAGATAGTGCACAATACAAATATAGTATATAAAAAAGCAAACGTTTATGTTGAGGTTCTGTTGGAAAATCATGCCGAGGTTGTGGTGCCATCTACAGCCGGTGGAAGATCTGAAATCATGTTAGCGAGAGTGCAAGAATATTCTCCTCTTCTTCATGACAATTTCAGGAGAGCCATCCTGAATGCAAGATTATGTCACCCCTGAGACAGGAAATGAGTCACTTTGCATGCTGGGTGCTAGTCTGTGCAACAATGAAACAGGAACTGGAGACAATGACTGGAAACAGAGGCCGGAAATGAGTAGGAAATGCAACTGTGCAGAGAGAAAAACACCAGCTGTCCTTGCAGTGTTTGACCCTGAGCCCCTTGAAAGATCATGAATATGAGTTCAGAAGCCTATCAGTAGCATGAAAGGCAGGTTACTATTTTTATATTTTTTCTGCAGAGGATATTGGTCCACATTTCTTAAAGCACTTGGTCTGATCCCCAGTCCACTTTTCACACTTATACTTTGGTTGCAACTAACAGAAGATCCTGCTTCTTACACAGTGCTCATTAGTTATTTTTTGAAATTAAGAGGAACAGTAATAGAAAAAAAAAGTTAATGAAAGATCCTCCAGCAAAGGAACAGAGAAAGAAACACTGGGCAATTCGCAGACACCGTGTCATTTCAAGAGGAAGTTATTTACAAGTTTTCCAGCTGAGATCAAAAGGTTATAATAACAAGCTGGCCCTTCTCTTTAGCCACCACCCTCGGGTTTTGGGGGGATATGAGAGAGCTCCCCTTCTTGGTGGCGGCTCTTAAGCTTTGGAACCCCCTTTCTAGGTTGGGCTCTCCCTTGTTGCCATTCTGCCACCAGGCAAAGACATGTTATTCTGGTATGCTTTTGGTGGCTGATTAACAAGGCTTTTAATTGGTGGATGCTGCAGCTTTTAATAACGTGCCTCTGTGTTTTTAAAATTGTTTTCATTGCATTTAATTCCCTGTCTTTATACTAGAACTGGTGTGATATTTATTTTTCCATTAGAATTTATCCAGGTTTTGTTTGTTTGAGGGATTTTTTTAAAAAAATTAAATACCTGTTTTCTAAATTATTTAGTTTAACACCTTGGACCTAGTTTGGGGAGAAACATGGAATATAAATTAAAAAAGAGAGACAGAAGATCATGTCAGCACAAGGTGTGGTTATTGGTAGTAGAGATTCAGCAGAGGCTATTGGCCTATCATCAGGCTGTGTGAGAGACTATCAGAATAAAAGTGATGAATCTGTTCAGTTTATACCTCCCAAATCTCAAATATCAATTACTTGTCTGTGTGGCCAAGGGATATATGTACACATGAATAGAGGAGTTTGTGAAAAAGTGAAGAGTTACTTTTATATGGGAAAAGTATCCCAGATACAAAATAATGTCTACCAACAGAGTTGGCACATGTCACCTCCTTCATATATTAAATGTTTAATTGTTTAAGATGTGGGACCAAAGGTGTTTTTCACTTACCTGTCCTCAGTAAGTCTAGCCTACCTCAGGTGAAATCTTAATACGGCTGTATCGACCTGATGGAACCCATTTCTTTGTCTACAAGCATCTCTCATCCATTATATCTGAAATGACAATTCATCAACAGGTGTTAAAAATCTAGCTTTTCTCCTCACTTTCACTCCCTCCACCAATTTGCTTTTAACATTTTTCTAAATTCACCGAAACACACAGGTTTTTTTATGCCTTTCAGGTTGGTTTAATAAAAACATCATCTCAATATGGACTTCACATTTTTAATACCTTTAAAATAAGTCAGGATTCCAGAAACCTAAATATAACTTGAAACTACCAGCACCTAATAAAGCCATTTAATTTTGTCTGCAAATTTTTTGCATCCTGCCTAATTTTTCTGCTTTTATATATATATATATTTGTAGTCCAAAATCATAAACTTACATACCTCTGCAGTGTCTTTGAGCCTCAGAAGGCCTATATAGGATCCCTGTAACCAGCCCCAGTCAGATTGCTGACTGGGGCTGGTTACAAGGATCACATAACCCCCCATGTTACAACAGTTCCATTGGCTGCCAATTAATTTCCAGACTGAATTTAAGATGTTGGTTCTAACCTATAAAGCCCTAAATGGCTTGGGCCAAGCTGCCTCAAGGATGGTGTCTCCCTTTATGAGCCTTTATAAGATCAAGGGTCTCCCTTTATAAGATCAAGAGGGTTATGAGCCTGCTCAAGTGTTAAGATCAAGAGGGGCTTTTATCTCAGCCCCACAACCTTCAGAGGTACATTTGTTGAGGATCTTTCTCTCAGCCCCACAACCTTCACAGGTACATTTGTTGAGGACACAGAAGAGGGCCTTCTCGGTGGCTGCTCCCAGAGACTCTGGAACTCCCTCCCACTGGAGGATAATCTGGCCCCATTTTTGCTGTCCTTAGATAAGCAAACAAAGACCTTTCTCTTCAATGAAGTGACTGGCTGCTTGAATTGGGTTTTGTAATGTATTGGATGTAACTGATGTAACTGATTTGGATGCATTTTGGTATTTATTTATTTAAAATACGTAGCTTTATAATTTTGGGCCTACCTACTTTTGATTGCAACCTCATATGAACATTATCTTGTGCCCTGTCAATTTATGATGGAAATTATGTACTGTCTAGTTTCTGAATTTGACCAAACTCCAACATGAATTTGACCGAACTCCAGGAGACAGTGGAAGATAGGGGGGCCTGGCGTGCTCTGGTACATGGGGTCATGAAGAGTCGGACACAATTTAACAACTAAACAACAACAACAAGCTTTTTAATTTGTATTATTTGACTCTACCTTAAGGATTTTCACTGTTTTTGCCCTTGTTTGTTTGTCTGGTTTTATTGATGGTTAACTAACCGAAAAGGACTTGATGGCTCATAGCAGCAATCACCAGAGGGCGCTCATGGCTCAAGAAATAATCTGGTAAAAATATCATGTGTGAGGAGAATTCAATATGTTAGCAATTGTATCTGACTTTGCTTGGATTAGAAACACATTGGTGGTAACCCCATCACCATTGTTCTGTCTGTGTTCTTTTCCCATCTTAATTGTCCCCTATGCTGGGGTGTCACTGCTGAAGACCTCAACAGTTTAGATATCTGTCTGCAGAGCTAGAGGTTAGGAGTCTGAATCCCCTCTGTGCTTCCTGGACATGGGTCAGACTTGATGATTTACAGGGTCCCTTCCAGCTTTGCAGTTCTAAAATTAGTCTAGATTATTTTTTTCTTCACTCCCCTCCATTGCTCAATCAGCTCTGTATTTATTCCAGGATGGAAATTTAGCTGATCTGGACTACAGCTCTCAGAATCTTCAGCCAGCATTGACATATCAAGTTATTAAAAATGTGAAGCCATTACCATCCATGCAAAGTTTCTGACCATTTTTCATAGGAAGGCTACAGCTCCAAGAATCCCCCTGGTATTTTATTCCAGCTACAGCTTCTAGAATTTTCCCAGCCAGCATTACCAGCCAGGATAAAATCTCTTCAATGACTGACAACATTAAAAAGATCAGTTTAATTCTATTCTCGTATTATAACTTTTTGCATTTTCTTTGAACATTTAAAAGGAAAAAAATTGTATTAAAAACTGCTTTGAGTCCCAGTTCTGAAAGAGCAAGAGCAAGATAGATCTCAAATAAAGAAATACAAGAATAAACAAAAAAGCTTTCTTAATTATAGTACTGTAGTTTTAGAACAGGTAGCCATAGGAAGATTGCATGTCTTTAATAAGTCTTATTATTTGATTGCAACATTAAGAATATCACGCAAAAAATAAAATAAAGACAGCTAAAACCTGTGAGCTTCCTCAGGCAAATCCACTTCCTCTTCCGTCCGAGTAAGTGGACTTGTCTGCAAAAACTCACATTAAAATATAGCAGTCTTTGTGTCACGTTTTTGTCTTTTTATTTACCGTATTTATTTTGCTTTTGCCCAATATGCAAAATCATAGGGAATGCAGTGGCAAGTGGAAGGATTTCTAATCTCTACATAGGCAACTAGGTTGTTCAGTGTCTGTGTGTTTTGCTCCCTTGGTTTGGCTTGTGGAGGATCAGATCATTTCCTGTTCACCTCAGCATAACATCCTGGATTTTACATTTACCAGCAGGTTTTGATTTGCACTGAGAAGTGTCGTAATGAGTTATAGTCCCTCGCTTGAGAGATCCAGAGTTTGTTCTGTTTTCAGTAGGCAAATAGTCTTAGACTACATGGACAGCTTTATCCATTTCACAAGATGTCGCTGAGGGCAGGCTAAATTTTCAGTTTTGAAAGCTTGAACGGTGCTATGGATGGCCAGGTTGACCCACAATGACTTCCTACATGGAAGGTTTTAAAATAGATGTTTAATGAGAATTGGTTTCGGCACACATTTCAAAGTGTTATTGTAGTTTTTAAATGTCTCCATGAATGCAGCCCAAAATGCTTAAATCAACCTAACCATTCAATAGTTTTTTCAAAGCGCTTGACTAGAGGAACTGTACTTTTCTGAGGTGTCATGGTGAAGGGACACAAAGACCAGCAGGGCCTTCTTGGTGGTGTTCCCTCATAGTTCCCTGCTGCTGTCAAATACTGTATCTTGTCAAATGTGACTGCATTTAGGCAAACAAAGACCAGTTATTGCAGGGATGGGCAACCTGTGGTCCTCCAGATTTTGTTGAACTACATTTCCCAGCATTCCTCATCACCCACTATACTTTTTAGAGCTGCCTGGTTTCCCCTCTCACTGTACAGTTCAATGGCATCTGGTTTTATAGCCGGAAACTGCCACATTATTATTTATTGGTTGCATTTGTAATCTGCCTTTCCTCCCAACGAGCTGGAGACCGTGTGTGGGACTCTCCTCCTCTACATATCAGCCCTACAACCTCTACTGAGAGAAAATGACTGATCCCAGCCGGGTTTCCATGGCTTAGTGCAAACTAGAACATTCATCTTTTATTGCATTATGTTGTAACGAAAAAGCAACGTGATGATTGCATGACCCTGACCATTTTAAAATGCTGTCAAGAGACGTTCGGTGCAAGATGCAGGATAAAAATGTCTAAAGGATGTAAGTCAGGCAGTCTGCTGATCATCATCTTAAATCTTTTGGATGCAAGTAAAATCGCCCACTGGGGGGCATTATCGCCCACGTTAAGAACCACTGGTCTAAAGGATGTAAGTCAGGCAGTCTGCTGATCATCATCTTAAAACTTTTGGATGCAAGTATTAAGTGATGCAGGGGAAATAACCCCCCCACTCCACCCCGGATAACGGCTTCTACACTTTTTCAACCCTTACCTTGGTGCAGAAATTGTAGCTTATTTGAAATGGCCACCATTGTCACGTCAGCTTATTTGAAATGGCCACCATTATCACCGTCCAAATTCCAGTAACAGGGCAAGGCCGTAGCCTTGCTGATAATAACCACCATGGTGTTGCAGCCCTCTGTGCAAGGTCTCTGATTACTTATCTTAAATAAATGTATTGGCTTTCAGGCTGTTCCAGAGGGATCTTGGTGGAAGTCGAGAGGCAGTCTTTTGAGAAACAAGGGAAAGCTGGGTGAACGGTACCGAATCCAACATCTGGAGGGAGAAATTAAAAGGTGGGGTGAATAAAATATTCCTTTTTTGTGAGGTCCATGGGGCTTTCATCATTCTTTGTACCTGTCTAGAGCTTGGAAGCTACCTTAGTTAGGCACTGGAGGTTAAAAAATAAAAATAAAAATACTGTATTCGGCTTTCACGTACTGTATTCGCGAAGGCTTTCACGGCCGGAATCTAATGGTTGTTGTGGGTTTTTCGGGTTGTTTGCCCGTGTTCTGAAGGTTGTTCTTCCTAACATTTCGCCAGTCTCTGTGGCCGGCACCTTCAGAGGACAGGAGTAAGCACGCTGCTACTCCTGTCCTCTGAAGATGCCGGCCACAGAGACCGGCGAAGCGTTGGGAAGAACAACCTTCAGAACATGGCCAAACAACCCAAAAAACCCACAACAACCAAAGATGTTTACCACGACCCAGGAAGGAAATGGGTTGAGTTTGGGGGAAACCGATGGGGAGGACTGGCTTATAATTAAATTTTGATTTATTTATTAGATTTATTATCCGCCAAAGCCCTGCAAGAACGTTTAATCTCTCTCTCTCTGGCCAGGCTCAGCTACTGAGGCCGTGTACAGTATTCAACTTTTCCGCCTCTGTGATTGCCCATGTGGACCCTAAAATAATGATGAAAATGGGGTCTGGATCCAGACACCTAGAGCACGGAAGGTTATCAGGGTCACTCTAAACAGTCCTCAAGCCAGCCCTGCAGGTCGGCACAAAATTTGAGAGGCAAAATTCAAAAGGTCCACCCATGTGGAGGCTAAAATAATGATGAAAATGGTGTCTGGATCCAGGCACCTGGAATACGGAAATTTATCAGGGTCTAATCGATCTTCAAGCCAGCCCTGCAGATAGGCCCAAAAGAGGCAGAATTCAAAAGGCCCAAAGGTGGCTTTTTTTTACAATTGTAATTTGTACCTTTTTATAATTATAATAATCTCAGAACTGCAGAGCTGGAAGCGTTCGCTATGGATCACTGAGGCCAGTGCCTGTCCAGGAGGCCCAGCGGGGGAATCGAACTCACAACCCTCTGACTCAGCAGCCAGAGACCTAAATCCCTGTGCTATCCAGCAGTGAATTTAATTAAGTTAATTTTTCTCAGAAAGATAACAAACCCTATATTTCCATAGTCAAGCAACCCAAACCACAATATAAAAATAAAATGTGAAAATTACCCAATATTCAGCGACTCTGACCCGGTGCTGGCCCTGCAAGTTAGCCCCAATTAAAAGGGCCTAAAGGGGACTTTAATTGATCACTCCTCGTTAACAATAAAATCATGTCAGGCTCCCTCATCGAGGGGCAAACATGGACTCAAAGAAATAATAAAAGCCAACCTCTTGAATCAATCTGTCATCTCCCCCATTGGGGGGAAAAGAGCAGTCCCACGACTGTGACAAAAAGCCCGCAAGCCATGAGGTAAAATAAAATACAATTAAAATATAAGCAGCCCACAGTACACCGAAAACCCTTCAGAAACAAAATATTCTTCATAATTTAGGGGGGAAGCCTAAATTCGGAAAGGAAGGACGACCTCCCTGGGGAAGGCGTTCCCAAGCCTGTCAGACTCCCACTAGGCTTTAATGACTTTCCTTAATTGGTTAATTAGCTCTTTGGTGAACTGAGCGAGATTGTCCAAGGGACCTCCAGGGAGCACGAAAACGGTAGAAACGGAAAGCATCGTCCTCTCTAAAGGCAGGGAAGCAAAATCCCATCTTGAAAGCAGGGATTTAAAATAAAAATAAAAGCAATTAAAAGTATTAATGCCCCCTTTTCTCTCTCTCTATGTCTCCCCCCTCAACCACCGAAGGGCACCTGATAAAAAGCCCCTTTACCTCAGCTTTCAGCTGAAAACCCCCTTCCTCAGAAAGTTACCTCAAAAAAGGAAGGAGTCATTCCAAGGTCCAAATATGGAGTTACTAGTCATTTGACTTGCCGTTTTTGAAAACAACAACAACAATCTCTCCTCAGAACTAACTGGAATTCCTGGTTTGGGGCTTAATTAAACACACAGACACACACACACACACACAAAACACCCCAAAGTCATGTTGTCATGACAACTGCAACAGAGGCTGTGCTTGAAGGGTGAGGCCTGTACCAATCAAGTAACTAAAAGTGTTACAGTTTCACTACACCGCAAAGGAAGTGAGGCTAGGCCTGTTTCGATCGTCACAACAACACACAAAATGTGTAGTTATCCCTTCATGAGAAGAAATTTGAGAAGGTGTACTTATACCTTCATGAGAAAAAGGAATTTGGAGGAGATCCCTCAAAGAAACTAGTTACTTGCAACTAGTTACTTCCAAGCTCCGATTCCAACTTCTTAAGAGCCGTGCTGCGCAGAGGGGTATGTTTCTTGGACTACAAGCCCCAAACGCCCTAAGCGGCAGGCTTCTGGGCATTGTAGTCCCACATCACCTCTGGAGGCCGCCAACTTGATCAATGATGCTGCCAAGGCTTTCTTTTAGGATAGTGCCCACAAGATGGCAGCCGCCATGGTTTGTGAGCACTATCCTAAAAGAAAAGCTGGCTTCATCTGGAATAATTAATCAATGGAAGAGCTGGCTTACACAGAGTCTTTAATTCAAATACAAATTTACACTTGTACACAGAAGTCAACCCAACCTATCGCTAGTCTGTACGGTGCAGGAAATAATAATGGGCTCTGCCTCTCATCCCACGTCAAGCCATTACTTTGTCTGTCTTTACCTTAAGCTTGCAGTCCTATTACAAAGCAAGGTAGAACTTATAAACCTCAAGCCTGGCCACTGTTAATGTACACCACCCATAGTCTGTTAGAAAAAGGGTGTCGTAGGTCACCCTTTACTTGAAGGGGTGCTCCATTTGCTGTTCAATCTGGTTTAAGGATGTGCACATCTATGTCATGCAGGAAGAGTGGTGGAAATTTTTATAGTCTGAACATCAGATGGACACACTAGCCAGTCTCAAGTCTTCCCACAAAGGTGGATACTTCCTACTTCATTCTCTGGAGAATTTGGAGAACTTATTATCCAGAAACTCGAATTGGGCACTTTAATTTTGGATAAGAAATCTCCAGTATTCTCCTGAGAGGCATAGTCCAGAGCACAAACTTCCACAGCTCTAGCAACTTTGAAGAAATGTGTACATCTGTCCCTAGATCAGCAGATGCATTTTGCATATGCATAAATTATAGTAATTGTTGTACATATATAATTTCATACAGGCCCCAATTTTATTTTTTTCGGATGATGTTGAAGCAGCAATTTCAACGGAGAGTGATTTATTAAACAGGTTATTTCGCAAGACAAAGCCTTCTTTTTCAGTAGCATAATTATTTTAGCAAAACCAGTAATGACTTCTTATGGCACTTTGAAGATCAGTAATGGAAAGAGGCGTGACAGGAAATTATCATCATCAGGAGTGTGTACACTTGGTTAATGACTGATTTACAGTAAAATGGCTGGGCCTGGTGTTTCCTAGAGAACGAGGCTGTGCACATGTAGCATCTGGTTTTTAACATATAAAAATATTAAAACCAAAAAACCCTGAAAAATATATTAAGTAAATCTATTCAGGAAAGCCTATATGAACGCTCCAATAAAAAAAATTAAATGCTCCAAAAAAGAACAAAACAAAGTTGATTCGTACATGCTGTGTGTTGAAATAGTGGTGGTGGTTGTTTAGTCGCGTCCGACTCTTTGTGACACATGAAATAGTGGTAAAGTCCTCAATTCATTGAACAGAGTGGCCGCCAGTTTCCCACCAAAGCTGAGCTGTGATGGTTTAACCAAGGACTTCCCAAACTAGCCATGGGACATGTAGGCAAGCCATAGCAAGCCATGGTTAGTACTAGCCATGAATTGTGGTTTCATCTACAAATTGCATGTCAGACGAACCAAACAAACCATGGCTGATGCTCCCCTTTTCTGGCTCGCTCCTTTCCCATCCTTTTGGATCAGGATGGGCCGCCGCAAAAATAAGTCCTGATTCGTACGTTCAGACATCAAGGCTAAAACTGCATGTTAACAAAGACAGTAAAACAAACATGAAGTTTAGACTATGGTTTGTGGCTGGTTAACAAACTGTGGCTTGTCAGAGAGGTGGTTTTATGTCACAACAAGCCTAACTGCAATAAACTACAGCTTGGCATGTCATAGAATCGAAACAGTTCAGGCATAATAGCTGTGTCAGGGTTGCCCAATTCATCTGTAAAGAGGCTGTTTCTCAAGGTTCAGCCTAGGTACAGAGTTAAGTGCTTAATTAATCTGAACACTGACTGCTTGTTAGAAGGCAGTGATCTCCAATGTGCTCAAAGGGGCATGGTACAAACCAGACAGGGTTCAATTGACAGGACTATTTTGACTCCTTGTACCGAGACAGCTTCCACCAACTGATTGTATAACACTCAACGGCTTGGTCTCTTTGGCTGCAAGAATGCAGAGATTTAAATGAATCCCCAACCCCCCTCTCCCGTTGAGACACTTCTTTGAACCAACAGATGATACAGAGCAACTCTGTTCTGCATGGGACATGTAGTTCTCCTTTTGTGGGGAAGTCTTGTATGCTGGATTTTAACAATGTGGTTTTCCTCCTTTCTGCTCTTCTCTTACTTTAGAGGGAAAAAAGGGAAGTAAAACCTAGAATGCAGAGCTGATTAGGTGGTGCATGGGCCTGAAGTAGCTGCAAAGAGTGCAAGAATCAGCTGTCAACACACAGCACGCTTTCAGCTCACCAGAATGGTAAGGGAGACGACCACCACCAATGGTTTTAACTTATGTCTTTAGGAAGAAGCAAGCTCAAGACCTGGCTCTTTAGGCAGGCCTTCTCTCCTGTCATTATTTAATTCATTTTCAACGCCTTGAATCATATTATGCTGCTGTTATATTATACTGTTATTTGTTTTACGAAATAGTTGTTAGCCGCCCAGAGTAGACTTTGGTCTAGATGGGCGGGATAAATAAAATAAATAAATAAAAATAAGTTTTTTGACTGCCGTACTGCAGCCTAACAACTGTGCCACAAGGCTTGTAAAAGCAGAATCTAACCCTGTTCTTCACATTTCTTCCCACTCCCCAGAGCCGTGGCAGCTTTCCTACATTGAACGCAATTCATTTTGCATGCCAATGCTGAAAATGATCAGAATTTCAAGACTCAGAAAGGTTTTTCTGTACAATTCTTTAATATATATAAAAATATTCAAACAAAGTGTATACAGTATATAGTTAGGCATTTTTATACGGTACATTCTTTGCATCTGCAGGTCCAAATAAACAGAAGGCAAAAGCAGAGAGGGGTTAAAACAAAAACAAAAAAACCCTGTTGCTTATCTTTGGTAGTTTCCCAAGGACAACTATCTGAAATTACACCCAGGGTTACAGAACATCTTCTGCCCATGAGCCCTTCGCAAGAAAGAAGTTGTTGGGCAGTTACACAATAGCTGAATTTCAAAACGTTTAAGGTCTGTATCTAACCCAAAGTAGTTAACCTCTGATTGTGTTTAAAAATATATATATATTAAGGCCTCCCTGAAGATTACGTGCCTGCTAAATCAGCCTGCCAAGTTCTCTTCTGTTCTTCCTTCCCTACATGCCTTGAGAAAATTCACTTTTCCCACCTATACAAAATAAATACAATGCAGCGTCTGGGAACCAAGCCTAAGAAAGGAATGGTACAAAAACTGCTTAAGATCTGTTGTTACTTATCTCTGGGCTACAAACACTGTTACTGTTCATTCTACTTTTATACAGCACCAATACAAGCATTGTCCAGGGACAATATGTGTGTGTGTATACACACACATTTAATATATGCACATATATACACACACGTATTTATAATGCAAAGCAGAATGGCAGTTCTTGTGTTTGGGATGGAGAGATCGGTAAACAACGGCAAACCAAGGCTTTTGTATTGTGTGTGTATATACACTTACACATACACACAGAGAAAAGCACACATTAGATACCATATTTTAAAAAAGCCATCACAAAAGATACATGGATATCACATAGCAGCTTATTTCTACTTATGTACAAATGTTCACAGTTAAGATTTTTTTTTGAAAACTGTCTGACAACTTCAATATATCTACTTTTCTATAAATATTAAAGCCTCTTACAGGGTTCAAGCCTTGAGAATCCTTTTTTTTATGTGTGTTTAAAGAAATACATCCACACTGATTTCAAAACCTACTCAGCTCTTCAGATCCAAGGATTTTATTTTTAAAGCTTGACATTCTCCTTTTTTTTCCCCCACTGTGTTGGATGGATCTTTCCCCTTCAGAGATATTCCCCCCCTACTCCTAATTCCTGTAGGAAAGGAAAGCCACGATTGTGGGAGGTACTGGCAAATTCGCCACCCGGTTGGTTGGCATCACGCGCCGGATTGCCATGCGGCACAAATGCTGCAGGGTAGGAACGTGCTTGGGTGTGGCCCAGAAGCACACACTCCCATCCTGTGTTCTGTATGCAGAGAAAACAAAAATACAGAAGTAGGTTATTACTATGGTAAGCAATGTCATGCTTCCATTCTAACAGTCATAATCCAATCCCCGAATGCCTTTTTAGAATCAGATGGTTTTAATGTTCATAAATCTGCTTACCCAGCAGCTAAAACACTGCCGTCAGTAGAAAAGGCACAACAAAGCCCATTGCTTAAAGGTGCAACCTGTACAGGATAGTCTTCATCGATTCGCCAGAACCGCACCATTCTGGAAGAACAAGATGTACAATGAAGTTTCAGTGTTTAACCATACCTGTTAGCCCCTCTTATCTTCTTTACTAAGCCTGTGTGTGTGTGTGTTTAAATTAACTGAGAAACAAAACAAAAAACATGATTTAATTAAGGAAATTTAGGATGCTGCCAGTTTACCCCAACACATGTTCATTTTCCCAACCAGTAGGAACCGGAAGAATCCAGCTATGTTTCACCGTACTTACTTATCATCTGCAAGCGTTGCAATGTGAAGCCCGTCATGACTGAAAGATACCGATCTGACCCATCGGTCATTCGCTCCACCAGCAAATATTGGAGTAGGAGGAGGGAACAGATGCCTGGGGGACAAAAAATAATATATATTTTTTAAAGGCCGGTTCACAGGTCCATGAAACAAGCACTTGCTTTCTATTTAATGGTTAACTAGGGGGGGAAAAAACTGAGTAGAGGTTCTTGCAGCTAACAATAGTGGACGGTGTTTGCAGTACCTCCACCACCAGTTTTTCCCATCACAGACCACCAGAAGGCTCACTGTAAAGGGTATGCCTTCTTCTTGCGTAGCAAGGAAACCAAGACAAACCACACACTTCTCAAAGACAAGCCAGAGTAGTTTGCAATACCCAGCTTAATAAAGAGATGTGACGCTCCAAATAATACATCACACGGTATCTTCCTACAACTCTGGGCGGAGACCAATCAGTCCTCCCTTGCCTTGGAAGCCGGCCGCAATGAGTCTTACCCATCACCGTCCACATCCACCAAGGAAAAGGCTAAAGTGCAGCTTACATCCCTTCCCTCCATGACTGCACTCAGGCTATGCCAGGGTGGCTGACCGGATCACTTTTTTTGCAATTGTGTTCGACGGCCACCTTGTATTTTTGGCACCTGATGTTTACTGTGAGCCTATCCATCTTTCCCTTTCCTCCACCCATCCTTATATAGGAATCCTAACAATCATCATCACATGCCAGCAAGTCAATTCTGACTTCTGGCCACCCTTTTCAGAGTGATGCAGGCAGAGAATATTCAGAAGGGGTTTTAACCCTTCTTCTGTTGCCCAAAACATGCCCAGGTCTCTAATGGGGAAGGGAATTCTCTAAATCCAGGTGGAAGGCATTTGCCCCAATGCAGTCTTGGGTAAGAGTGCAAATGTTGGCAGTTCTCCCCATAGCCCTGCTTCATCATCATAAGGCACCACTCGTGTGGTGCAATTCCCACAGCTTCTGGGAGTAGGCAGAAGTGAATAGGGAACTGAGCCAGGACAGGGGGTTTGACTCCTGAAATTAGGGGAAATAACCCTCGGCATCAGTTTGCCTTCTGCCTGCACCGCAACCTGGATATCGACCTCTGCTATCTCCTTCTGTCTACCCTACCCACTTGACTTACCCAAATTCCATCAGGATGGTTCCAATATACGGGTCCCAGACACAAACTCGGGTATCATGCGATGCTGTAGCCAGCAAAGCTCCGTCAGGGGAAAACTCACAGGCTACAACATCATTGTGGTGCCCTTCCAGTTTTCGGATGAGGGAGTATTTATCCATATCCCAAAGCAACACCTGCAATTAAAAAGGGACGATGTTACAGCTCTACTCCAATATATCAGGGAAAAACTCACAATCCTGCCACCCCTCTCCCGACCCATTTGTGCTACTTTTACTTAGGATTATAATTAAAGCCAAGCATTAAGAATGACTACAATTAGGAAATATGCTCAGTGTCATACTCAGAATTATTTAAAATTAAAGTGAAGCATACATGCAAATGCTAACTTGTTAAGAGTTATATATAAGCCTACATATAGGTATATAGAAAATAAATGTAAAATACAGCTTTAACTGTAAGTTTAAAAAACTGAACCCGCATATTACATTAATATACAGTAGAGAAGTTAAGTAAAATGCTAGCATCCCCATTTCTGTTTCAAATCTACTCAATGTTTAAGAAATACAGACAGAAAAAAATATGTAAGGTTAACATATGGTTACTCCCGTGGAATCCCCAGTGAGCTTAAGATCACTTGTTTACAATAGGCTTGGATCGCCAACGTCAGCCTAGGAAGAGAAACAGATACTGCAAGCAAAAAAGGAATTGTCACAGCCAAATGATAAGACTTTGGCAAAACGAACCCAGAAATTAAACCAAGTGACTAGCAGTTTATATATTTTGAATAATAACAAATAAAAGCATAATTACTACGTGCCAGGTTTTAAAAGTAAAGGTTTAGATACATCAGAGGTTTGCAAATACAAAAATGGCACAGCACAAGTTACATGCATTTGTACATTTACTGCAATCAGTTTAAGCATATGCAGAAATATCTAGGTATCAAATTTCAGCTACACATTTTGCATTATATTAGTTACAGTCTACTCAAGGGTTATAAAGGAAGTTCTTTTTTTTTTAAAGAGTTTTTAAGGCACAGAGTACTTTAAAAAAATTATAAGCCATCCTGAATTTTAGGAACAAGTAGAGTCATTAAATACAAAACAGTGGATCTGTGCAAAACTACTTAGGTTTCACCAAAGAGACAAGAGATTACTCTGTCTTTTACTTTACGGTAATGAAACTTGGGCTGAAGTCAGTTTACACAAGTAACCTAGGATGTCTGACTCAGCTTAATCAAAGACTCCCAATATTCCATGCGAATGGAAAACGATACATTACAACTTCTTTTTTTTTTTAAAAAGGAGCTGGGTCTCACCAAAGTGAAAATAAAAAAGAAAAGAAAAGAAAAAAAAAGCAGAAAGTGGACATCAACCAGCACCTGCGTACGTACAGTACACCCTGCAGCCGAATGCAAGGTTACTTCGTCCTATGGTAAAGTTCGCCTCCAGCCTGGTAGCCAGAGATGCCAATCTTTCTGCCCAGCTAACACCAATGTGCGCTTGTGTCTGAGTGGTGCCAGCTTACCCTCAATCACACCAATATTTCTGCCACCACCTGTGACAGGGAAAGCAAGAAGCTTATGGAGAACAGCCTACAAGATCAATGCATACATCCACATCTGTTCTATTTTAAAGGGCTTCGCGCATATTCTGTCTTAATCTAAGCTATTTTAGAGAAAAAACTTTACAGTGTGCTTTCTTTCCATATTAAAAAAGAGAGAATATCTGGACTATTTTTTTAAAGTGGCTAACGTTCAAAATAAAGATGCTGATCAGCCAGAGGATGGGCAACCTGTTCAACACTGAAAGCTATTTCGGAAAAAAAGGAATACGTTTGCCAAGGGTGTTGGCATCAGCCTAAAAGATGCACCACCAACGCCATTTTCTTGAACTTGGCAAATGAAAGATTACAACCCAGGTGTGGATTTCTTCTGCCAGAATTGTGGCTGCCAAAGGTAAAATCCCCAAACGGTGAGGCAACCTCTTCAACAAAAGGGACAAAGGTTTGGAAATTATTTTTCAGAAAAGATTTGAAATGGAACGTTTCCGTCTTATTGTGCCAGCCACTGGGTGTCAGAACTCCTGATGTGGAATTTAGGACGCCGGATGCCGCCAACATTACTGACCACACCAACATGCTTCAGAAACACAAGTTGCTCATCCCTGGTGCCTAGCGCTAGAGTTGACTAATTAAATAAGACATGCAACCCAATCCTAAATTACAGTGCAACTACACTAGATAGTCATACTCATTTGATGACACTTGTGCCATGGTTCCAACCCAGGGAATGCTGGGACTTGTAGGCTAGTAAGGTACTTTATAGAGTCTGCCGGGCAAGTGGTTGAAGACCCCACCAAACTACAGGTCTCGGGATTCCAAGCAGTGGAGCCACAACAGTTAAAGTGGCATCAAACTGCTATAGTTTTGTATTGCAGATGTTGGTTAAAATCCTGTTACTTTGTGTAGTAAGTCATATCAAAGAAAGCCCATTGATCAGTGGGGAATTGGTGAGCTAGCTGTAGGCTACACCGATTCATGGGCATACTCTAGTTGCAACCTGCTAGGCCAAGCAACAGGATTTCAGCTGCCACATTTATTGGGAGATTAGCCCCAACCATTGATCAGTGGGGAATTGGTGAGCTAGGCTAAGCAACAGGATTTCAGCCACCACGTTTATTGGGAGATTAGTCCCATTCACTTCAATGGTGATTTAAGCATCCTTAAATCACTGTCTTCATCTACATGGCCCTTATCCTTAACTGGCTCTACATTAAGCAGCATCTTGCTAACATTTTAAAACTATGTTCTATTCTATTCTGCAGCAAGTTATTTTAATACAGTTCTACACAGAAGTAACAGAACGCTCTACTTCACTGCAAGGCGATGGGTACAAGAGGTGCTTATAACAAAAACCTGAGCAAGAATCATAATTGTTAAAGCTCAGACTTTTGAAGTGAGCATGGCAAAAGACTATCAAAAATCAAGAGACAGACTACTACTAGCAATTCTTCTTCTCAACTAGAATGGTACACTCTCTTTGATTACTAATATATACATATATTTGAGTCATGGAACAGATGGAGATGTGCACATCTACTAGCCAAAAGCAAATATCTCTTAAACTAAAAGCAATGTAAGTTCAGCACAATAACTGACAACTGAACAAGCCTTATGCTAATTTACAGCGTTTTCTGTCATGCAGTTCCTTGCATCATTATCATCATCATCCAACATGACACCAAGCACAAGCTGGCTTTATTCTATTATTCCAAAGTATTACTATTTTGTTTTGCTGACAATCAAATCAAGCTGGCGATCACGAAACTTTGATACTTACTGTTTTATTGGTCCCGACTGAACAGAGAATGGAAGAATCTGGAGAAAACGCACAGCTATATACCCAGTTTGGGTGCCCTCTTAATACTTTTATCATGTTTCCTGGAAAATGGGGGGGGGGGAGAGCTAGATTAGTATCCCTCACAGTCTGTAATGCATGGTTCAAGAGTACTGTCCTTAGCCTGCCTGCTTCCTTCCCCTTGTATTAATTGAATACTTCCATTGCTTCATCGAACTAGTTTCTAGCGACAGTCAACTCTGCAGTTTTCAAACACTGCTCAGAATCCTCCCGGTGTTTTGTGTAAGGTTTTGGTCATTTGCTGCAGCTCACTGACAAGGAGCCAAGCTGGATCTCAACTGAACAATCTGGCGCAAGAATAGCCAGCCAGCCAAAAGGTGTCCGAGCATCCCTTCAGCAAGCAGCAATTAGTCATGGCACATTAGGCAGCTGCCACTAGGACTCTGGGCATCGAAGGCCATTCTGGTTTATGATCCGGGCTCAAACGACAGTCCGTCATCCAAGTCTGCCATCAACGGTTTAAGAGCCTCCAATTTTGGAAGTTATCAGGAAGTGGGGCTTAAGTAGTCCTAGAAATAAACTTTGCTCCACTAAACCAAGATCATCATGTCTGAACTAGGCCTTATGGTTGAGGAGACATTCAACAACCGATTCATGGGTGACACAGAATTGCCAGATAGCTCCGTGGTTGAGGTCTCTGGTTGCAGAGCCGGAGGCTGGGAGTTTGAATCCCCACGGTGCCTCCTTCGTAGAGGCTCGATTCGATGATCCAGAGGGTCCCCCCTTCCAGCTCTAAGATTATCATCATCATCATAACTGGGACAGAATGACAGGCTCAAAATCTGATTGGAAGTTCTAACGATATTGCAATGCGCGGCAAGAACCTCAAGCCACCAAGCACAATTGGCTTTCTTTCGAAAAGATAAGAGTCTTTTCGGTCTCTGAAAAGGATGGTATCCCCAGAGCTTGTCTTCTCCTAGTCTAAGATATATAAAGCCGGTGCTTCTAACTCACAAATAAAGTCTGTTTCTTTGACTAGCAGCTAATGTTATATTTGTAATTAAACCAGGACCACACCCATGAAATGAGAAAACTTACTGTACAGGAAAAAGCAGTCTGAGAGCTGCTCTCTTTCCTATCATAGCTTCTCAATGCCAGGAAACAAAGTATGTAAAGGGTCTCTTGGCTTTTGGTTACTCCACTGAATGCACTCCCTAAAACATACCATCATCCTTTAGGTCCCACACGCGTAGTGTTTTGTCTCTTGAAGCAGATACGAGTATCAGGCTGCCATCGGGGGCAAAAGTTAAGTCTCGGACAACTTCGGTATGGTCCATTAAGTTAAGGAGGAGTTTTCCTGCCAGAACAACATGTTTGGAAATTAGACCTTGAAATCAAACTTAAGCTTTTTTCACATCCTGGATCAGGGACAGAGAATTGGGATAGGTATTTCTATGTTTTTAGCCAAAAGGCAGAACAAAAGTCACAGATCTGTAAATGGAAGGGATTTAAAAACATTATCCACTCTAACCCCCTTGGTGATACAGGAAAGTTGCCACTGCAGTATCTCTAAGAGGTTATCATCCATCTCACAAAGAAGCCACAGAGCCTTTGTGACCATCTCTGGAGCATTTGAAGATGACTATCAAAGTCATGTCACCTCAAAATGAAACACCCTCAACTCTTTCAAGCCCCTTCACTCAACAAATAGCATTTTATACAGTGTTTACGTTTAATGTTTTCTTGAGTTAAGCCTTGATCCCAAACCTATTTCCTTTCAGTCAACATGCTTGTTTTATCTCTTGGATAAGCTTTGGGAACAGTTGCCAGCAAAGCTTATCTTCATACACTGCCAAGGTTTATTTTGGAATGAACGAAGCTTGTCAGCTTGCTTGAGATTAAAGCAACGCGCTTCCATTTCTAATGAACTGAGCATCAGTTTTCACCCAAACTAAAAGTTAACTGGGTGAGAATCATGGCTGTAAAGCCATCTGTTCATAGATCAAAGGGACACATAAAAAGGGATCATATTTGAGATGGATACCCTGAGAAAGGATAAACGAGAAGTCCACTGATTATTTTGTTGCACGCTGTGTTCCTACAAAAGTACCTGAAACTAGCAAAATAAGCAGCAGCGGTCTTGCTTAATCCATTTAATCAAGCATCCTCTATCAAATAATGGCCGCATCAGCGTTGAAGGCACAAGGGCAAGAATATTAAAATCTTTTGTTCTCAATTTCAGTGCATTTCTTCAGGTCTTGCCTACATTCTTCCCCACAAACACTTCAGGCTGAACACGTGAGTTTTCTTTCTTCCTTGAAATTCATTTACACTTGGGGTGCGTTTTTTCTAACAGGCGTTTTTATTCATGCATTTCTTCCACAGATTACAGCATGTTTGTGCATTTTAAAAAACTGTACACGTGCTCTTACGTTTTCTCTGAACACTCCATCAGCCTTGCCAAAGTCTGGGTTCTCGAGCCAAGGGTGATCTTTTAAGGTAACAAAGGTGGATGAAAACACATCGGGATGCTGCTTACCTGTATAGGCATCCCATATTTTGATTCGCCCATTCGATAAGCCTGTCGCCAGCAAAAGCTGATCCTGGCCAAATTTGAACCGGTGCCATTCTATATTGACACAACGGCTCTGTTTTTCAGGAACTGACGATCCAAATGCTAAGCTCCAGACAATGTCACCGCAGTCTATGACATGCTCACGGGGTTTGCTTTTTGGGTCATCGTCACTGTTTTGCCTTGAGAGTTTGGAATGGCTCAAGTTGGCGAAGTTCTTTACGCCATGCAATGAACTGGAGGGGAAAATACAGGAAGACATGGTTAAAAGACAGACAATGAACAGCACTGGAAATAAGACACTGATTACTCAGCATTCTCTCCCATCTTTCATGTGTAATTATCATGATTCCTTAAGAGCGTTACCATTCTACTTATATGCAGGACTGCAAGATAGTTATAGCACTGTCTCCTCTTGGCAGAGAAGTAGATGACCAGTTAGAAGCCTGGTGAAAAGCAGTGTGATTATAAACCAGAAGGAAAACTGATCTCTTCATACAGAAAAAGGACGTAATTATCTCTCCATTAGTCTTATGAAATAGGTCGTTTTTTGTGAAGGAACTGAGATACTGAGTTCACCCAATGGAAGGAAGGTCAACTATTTTTTTCAGACGCTATCCGTTGGACCATAGTAGGCAGTGGCCATCCTTCAGTCTCGAGAGACTATAGTAACATGCTCTAATAGAGGTCTTGGAGCAGCATCTAGTGTGGCTGAGAAGGCTGATACGAGAGTGATAATCTCTTCCACACTGAAGACAAATACAATCTGTCCCTGCCGCTTTCCCTCAGATCCCTTGGACCTCTGTCCCTTGTCCAGCTCCCTGGTTTTGCGACTGCCACTTTCCCTCAGATCCCTTGGACTACACTAACTTATTCAGCCAAAAGAACAAAATATGTTAAAATTTATATGGGGGGGGTGGAGAAACCAATTCCACTTCAATTAAAAACAACCCAATGTGTAGCTTGGTGTCTATATACAGTTGCTACCTTTACACTGCACATTCAGACGATGAAAAGATTATATTGGCCTCCATGTATGGCATTTATCTTTTGAATATTGCATTATTAATCATTCAGCCGCCATAGAGTTATGAAGAATCCTTGAGCAGACACGATTTAAGTCAGAAACCTTCTGCATCCTGAAATCATTAAGAGCTCTGTTCTTTGTGGCTTAGACATTGTTTTGAAGTGGCACAATCTTGTTCTCCAGTTCCCCATGATCCCAATCAGGGTGGATTTGATTTAAATCACAATTTAAATTTTAAACATGGGACTTTCTGATTTAAATAAAAAAGCTTTTTTTTAAAAAATGTGATTGTTATTTTTTTAAAAAATTGTAATTGTTATTTTTTTTCAAAATCATTGATTTAAAAAAATCTACCCTGATTCAAATGCACGACTTAGTAATACTTGGAAGCAGATCCCCTGGAACAGGACAATTTATATTACAGCGATCTGAATGGTTCTATTTTAAGTAACAGGGACTCAACCCCTCGTCTCTACCTGTCCATACAGCCTGCTCCAGTTCCCATCTGTTTTCTACAAAGAAAAAGACCGTGGGCAAATGGTGACGAAACTTTGAAAACAGGTTATACTCACAAGTTATTAAGGCACAGAGACCAGGGTATGAGTTTGACTATGCGGTGGCCTTGCGACCAAGCGAAATAGGACCCATCGGGAGCAAAGGCAACAGTCCAGTTTTCCCGGCCACACTTCTTGTCGAAAGGAGACGGCGGAGCTAAAAGTTCTCCCACTGTCCGTGATCTTCCTGGAAAAGAAAGAAAAGGAAGCCCCAACGTTAGAGCCAGCCAGAAATGCAATGTATTTTGCAAAAACTTAAGCAGCGCCTCTCCAATGTCATGAAGGCCTCCAAATGAATTCCATCTTTCAGTTCTATTTCCATCCGTAGAAGAAAATGGGAAAAATTCAGCAAAAAAGTAGGCAGCAGATATTTGAGCAGGGTTTAAGCATACCAGAAAAAAAGAGGAAGTCAGTGTCTTAACAGTAACTGATCTTACAGCAAGCCCTGCTAGGGAAAAATCTGACAGATTATAATTTGGGGCAGGATTATATGTGTGAAGCCAGCCCTTCAAATAGGAAAGAAACAGAGAGCAATACTTCTAATCACCACCTAATATTATGGAGTGTTTTCTCTGGAACCTTAACAAGCTAAAGGAACCTTAACAAGCGATACACAGCGGTATATCCACTCTCATTTTCAGCTAAGCGTTTTAAAATGTATTGTTTTCACTGAGCTTCAACCTTTGTGAAGTCTGACGCCAGGTATAACAGCTTGGCTAATTAAACACCAGAGTCTTCAGCAAGACTCCCTACATTTACTAATGCATGTGAGTGAAATTTTCCACGAAGTCTTACATATGGACTGGGTTCCAATTTGTTACACCCAGGTTATTACGAACACAGAGAGAGAGAGAGACAATAGCACCTCTGATTTTAATGCCTTTATTTCAGGGCAGGTTTTTGCAGATTGCAGTTATGTCATTTCTTCAGACACACCGACATGTTGCCATAAAACCAGCTCACACACCTACACCCTAAACACAGGATTATTACAACCACTATTGGTTATATAATTCACTCAACTGCACATTAAAGAAGTGTTACGTGGACTTGCATGATGTTTCTTAATCATCTGTGCTGTGGTATGTGCTGACAAATCATAAAGCAATCCTAGTGAGGTTTCCAAATGTGGGGTAGTTTAGCAGTAGTTTGCCAACACCTCTCTTCAGGGAGTTTTCATGGCCAAGCAAAGACTTAAACCCAAGTCTTCTAAATCTTGGCCGGATGTTCTATCCACTCCTCTGCCCTCCGTTTGTTAATGGAGTTACTCAATTTCAAAAAAATGATTTATTTTTACAACCGGGAAACTTTATGCAAAAACATGGAGGAAGTTTCTCAGCTATACTGGCCTGAGGATGCACTATGCCTAAAACAGCAGTTCCACATATTTTATAGGGAGCCTAAGAAGTCAGCAACACATTAAGATGAAAATCTAATCCACATTTACCTACGATTCAGCCCAGGGCTTGCTTCTGAACAGACATGGTTAGAACACTCTTCCCTCCATTCATTTTATATTCCATTTCTCAGTGAGCTGTATATTGGTGATTCCCTGGTTGTACTACAAAATCAACTGAGCTTGCATCTCATCCAGCAAAGGAAACGCAAGCAGTTATTAATGGTGGACGAGGAAAAGATTCCTTTTCCCCCCCTAATGTTACCAGCTTTCTTTCTCTTCAGCACAGAAAAGGTCATGGAAGCAAGGAACTGTGTGGTAGTGCAATCACACACAGGATCGGGGTGGGCTGGCCCTCCTCATGTGAGCTCCGCATTCACATGTTAAACAGCACAGGGTGGGTACATGAGAAATTCAGAACACATAATGGCAGTTGTTAACCATTCCTAGAAAGGGGGAAATGTCTAGAGGTAGAAATCAGCCCTTATATGGTAACCATAAGGCTCCTCTTTATGTTTCGTTGCTAAAAGCACAATGGAGTTTCCAGTTAAAATAAATTTTCAGAAGCGTGACAAATTTTAGCATTATATATTGTTCCAAGGGAATCTTTCCCTGTTCTTTCTGTTCCAGAAGAAAAAAAAATCAGATTGCAGAGAGGAAAAATGAGTAAACACAGCTACCAAAGGCAGCAGAAGAGAGACAGCTGAACGGCAGGTAGGATATTGCACCCAGCAGGATTAAGATAACTTGTCATATGGCTGGAACAAGAAGCCACGTTGCCTGAAAGACAGTGAACAGAGGCGTCTGGAACATACAGCTTTGTTCCTTCCTTTGAAGGCAATGGTAGGGCAAAGGAAGGGACTAACCAGAATTAGGATGAATCATGGTTTATTTTAGATTCCTTTCATAATTTCCAGAGAGATCTCAGTATCCGTCTGTTGCAGCAAAAGAGCCAAAGAAACCTTGGGCACTTTTAAAGAGTACGTAATACAGAATATACTAGTCTTTTTTCACTATGGTGCATCAATTCAGTCACAAAGGTGGTAGTTTCCTTAAGCTCAAGGAGCGTGTCGAGATTCTTGGACACCATAATATGAGGCAGGGGAAGAAGACGATTTCTCTGAAGGAGCCAGCCAGGTCTCACGTCATTAAATCTAATGTTACTCAAAATTAGGGCAGATTAAGTAAAGAGGACGGGACCTATTAAGTCAAAAGTAAAATATACAGTACTTGTTTCAACAGGTCTGCTCTAGCTGGAACTTGGTGTAGAGCACAGTGTGTCCAACCAGAACTCTTAGAAAACCTGGGTTCAAATCCCTTTTCTGCCATAGTAAGTTGCAGGGGGTGGTGTTAGCAAGGGTAAACCGCACCTTAAAAATCTCACACACCTTGAAAACCCTATTACACAGACTTTCACCAGGAAGCTAGCCCATGAGCTGAAGATGGCATTTTATACACTGACTTCAAATGTTTTCCCAACTCTTTTCATATACACCTCCCACGCATCCCTTTCTGGCTCTCACAAGCCGCACAGAGTATAATTTACTTAGGAGCCATCATGATCTGTAACCCAATGTGACAATGTAACAATATATGTTAACTGAGAACTTGTTACTTCAAGATCCTCAGAATTGCTGAAAGTGAAAGGCCACAAATACTTGTACATTTCTTCCTAGTCAATTTATCTCTCCTTGAAACATCTGTTTGCCTTCAATACTTGATTTCAACCCAAACCAAGGTAATGAGGATGCCACCTGCCATCAAATCCCATCATCTTGGGAGATGATGGCCATTGCAACCCAGCCCAGTCAGAAGGCTTGCATACAATTGATATATCCACCAGCCTTCCATTAACTAGGTTAAGCCCCTCCAAACCCCCTCCCTCATTATCCTAGCATCAGCATCATCTACAACCCCCCCCCCAAAAAAACCCCCAAAGACTGGCATATTATGGCCAGTTCTAAGACATCCTAGAGGTGTTCAGATGATTGGGGGTGCATATTAGCTTCTGTTTTTTAGAAGGGGGGAAATAACAAAAATAGTAAAAACCGATCTAGGGCACACTAGAGTTTGGAGTTTAAAGAAGGGACATTTCATCTCTCATCCCATTATTTTACAGTAGTAGCATTTCTAGACTTTTCAGATCCCTGCCCCTCCCTACTTTTGAAATACTTACAGGAACATTTTGCAAGGTGTTTGCCAATACCAGACGAGCCCAGGCACTCCTTAGGCTAAGCACACACACATACACACACACAGCCCGTGACACCCTCCCCAGGCATTACTTGCTCCCCAATGGCTCCTAGAGATTTCCTCCTTTTGCCCCAACTCCATTTCCTTCCTACAAAAGTGTCTACTTCACACCTGCAAAACAGGTCGTGGAAAAATAACGTATGCACCAACTACTGTGCTTAATGGAACACAATTAATTTTTTTTTTTAAATCACAGATCAGAACATCAAGGTAGCAAAGAAGGGTTGTGTGGTTGTGCAATCCCACACACAACGTTCCCTGGGATCATGCCCCAGTGAATGCAGCAGGCACACATGCAGAGCAAACGGCCTTACAGGGAATATTTAAATTCCCTCCCAACCGATGGCTCCTATTTCCTCCTCCTGCCTTTCCTCCCAACCACGTTGGCATCCCGATGAATAAAAAAAAGAGATTTTACCCCCAAATACCGGCCGCATCTCTTACCAATGAGCTTCTCGTTAACACTCGGGGGAAAGCTGGCCATCTACGGAGCCGCCCTTCAGACCGGCTCTATATAAGGTTTAATTTAAAAGACAATTAAAAAAAAATAACGGAACGGCCTCGAAGCCACTACCCGCCGCCCAGCCAAAGAAAGACAGACTGAGACAAAATGGCCGCGGCGGGAACGTTTATGGAGAAGGGGGCGTGGCTTGGCGAGGCTCGTAGGCCACGCCCCCTGCGGGGAGCGCGCGAATGGGAAGGCGTGGCTTCAGGTTCGCTCGGATTCTCCCCGTCGGTTCCATTCTTCCATTTGGCGGTCTCTTTTTCTCCCCCCTTTTTTTGCTACAATGGGACGGACCGCGCGGCCAGGCTCCCTGAAGAAGAGTCCATTCTGTGAAAGATGGAGGGGGAAAGGAGAGGGGGCTTGCTCCTAGCCTGGAATAAAGGCTAAGCAAGGGGGGAGAAGTCACAAATACTACGGCTAGTGGGCTTAAAACGGGTGTGCTATGTATGGGGCGAGAGGATAGATTTTGGGACGTGGAAGATCCACTATTTCGTCGCCATGGGCCATGAAAGCTCATAAAAGTCTCTCACCTGAGCCAGGCGGGTGTTCTCTCTCAGGCAGCCTACCTCGCAGGGTTGTGAGGAGGACAGGGGCGTACACTGAGATGAGCTAACTTAAGCTATAAATGGAAATAATTTTTTAAAAAATAAATTATTAGGACTTCAATTTTAGAGTATCCCTTTCGGTGGTACTAAATGGCCACTTATGCATATTTAGAAAGTAAGAGGGTCTCCTTAGTCCCATATTCTCTTCAGGCAATGGCAAACCAAACCTTCCACTGGGAAGCCCACAAGCAGGTCATGAGGTAAAAAACTCACCTCTCTTTGTACTGTCCAGAAAACTGGGTATACTGCTACTGAAGGTGGAGGTTCTGTATCTCCTAAACACCTCCATGCTGAGGAAGGAGAAGAGGATTTCACTAGACTAGGGGTTTCCAAAAGGATTCTTTTTATCATAGCAACTCATGTTCTTAATTTAAAATGTGTTTGTGCTGATTTTAAACTAAGAGGGCTTTCTCATTGTTATCAAAAGGGTTTTGTTCTATGATAAAAGAGATGTGAGGAGACAATGAGGTTTCTTAAAAATCAGAAAGGGGTCTGAAAGTTTGGGATCTGTTCACCTAGTTGGTCTATCACATTAATTTTTGTAATTGTTAAGTAGTGGCCATGTTGTTTTTATATAGTAGGTAGTGATTTAGTGACCATCTCTGTAATTCTGCTTTGCAAGCAGAAGAGACAATAAACTCGCATAAGTGCAGCCACAATGTCTATTTTCTCCTTTCCAGTTGTTCTTTCTATGGGATTTTGACATTTTGTTTTTTTGGCCATGGTTTATTTTGCAAAAAGTATCTGGGAGGGATGCCTCAGTGTCCTTAAATAACACAGTTCGCAATGCCAGAATGTAACAACCGCACCCTTAAATCTTCCATCTTTTGGCATTTTGTTGCACTTTGAAAAAAAACTGAACAGCCATAGTCCGGAAACCAATTCAATATGTTTCTGTTCTACTAAGACTTATGGCTGGCAAATTATGTTCTAAACATGTTCTTTCATCCCTTCAGGGCGTTGCACCAAACAGATGCGGCTTAGATGGGTTGAAAGAAGAAAAGAAACTCCAAAGGACAGAAAATCAACGTTGCAAGTTTTTGCAAAGTTAAGTTTTGTTGTTGCTTAAATCAAAGCATGCCTTTAGTTGTTTTCTCTGTATTAAAGCAAGCCATTGCAGCAGGACTCTGCATTTAGAATTGTACACTCCTGATTCATCATAAACGACTACTCCACCCCATTGGCTTAATGTAGCAGATCTGAAGCTTGTTAGCTGCTGTGAATGCAGATCTGTTGAAGGCTCTTTGAATTTAAACTTTGTTTGAAGAGTTGGTTGGGAAATTCTAGCCAAATGCAACTGGGGTGAAGCCTGAAACCACAAGGCCCAAAAGGCTGTTTGTACATAGCATTTGAACTCGCCTCTAAGAAGCCCACCTGGCACAAGCAGCTGCCATGAACTTTTGGGACTCTCATTTATAACTTTTCTGTGCTATTTGCACAATATCGGTGCATGGCCTGAAGACGTGAACTTAATCCACAAAAGCTTGCTGTTTGTTTGATTTTCTTTAGTGATCTAAAAAAAGGTATTGCCTACGCTTGCATTTGTGTGATTTTAAGGACCACACAGGGTTTTCTTAATTTTTTTTTTTTCTGAAACAAACATGAAGTATTGGACTAGTCACTTTTACTCCTATAGGCAGCAAAAACCTTATCTGAGAAAAGGACAGGATTTTAGGGCAGAATTCCAGCACTAAGCAGAAGGAGGGCCCTAATTTAGCAGAGTTGGCTTCCAGTGTTTTGAAAGAATGCATATTACAATTGAAAAAGGGACTTCTCCTTTTCTTCTCTACTTGTAGGATCATTAAGGCCCAAACAATATATTATAGAAATTATTCATCATTATTGTTGAAATGACTTTATTCTTCAACTTTCAGGAAGTCGGTCTAACAAATTAGACATGTAAATATGTTGTTGTTATGTGCCACCAAGCTGGAACCAATTTATAGCAACCCTAATGGGGCTCTTAAAGGAAGTGAGATATTTAAAAAGCGGGATTCAAACCCATGCCTCCTGAGCTTTAGTCTGTTTATTCAGTAAATACAGTATGTAGCATACTGTATACTGTACATATTTACTATATGATAAATATTTACTATAGTAAATACATACTTACATATTTACTAGGCTAAATGCATGTGTGCCATATGAGAAATGAACATGCTGCGATAATGATAAACTATCAGCACCTAAAGAATTCCCTTTTCTTATGGTTCCGTGGTTCATGTATCTGGCTGTAGAGATGGAGGATGGGAATTCGATTCTGCACTGTGCCTCCAAAGAGAAGAACCAGCCTGTGTAGCCTTGGGCAAGCTGCACAGTCTCAGGGCACCCTCTGCAGAAGGGAATGGTAAACCACCTCTGAGTATTCTCTACCTAGAAAACCCTGGAATAGCCTGCCATAAATCGGAATTAACCTGATGGTTGGCTATTATTATTAATTGTTAACTATCCTTCATGTATATAGTTCAGGCCTCTAATTACCTATGGTGCTGGAAATCTGATTTATTCTATTGACACACTCAGTAATCCCACCAGGAACTTTTCACATATCTGTTTTTTTTCCCCTGAGCCACTGCCCAAGGCTGCATTCAGGCCTTGATGGGAAACATCATTTCCCACCCCTGTCCATTTCCAGACACTGGTCTGCCGGCTTGGTGTTATGGACTGGCATTGACTCTCTGGGATATCAAACAGGACAAGCCTTTCCCAGACTATCTACCCCGCTTCTGAAAAGCTAAAAATACCAAGGATTGTACAGGAGCCCTTCCTCATGCAAAAACAATGCACATTTCTGTCAAGCTACAAGGCCCCTCCTTTAATTTAGGAAATGCCCAGAGATGGCTCATCACAGAAGCATGCATGTTCACCCATACCAACTGCATGTATCATCTGAGCTACTGAAATCTTTCTGTGCGAACGTGTGTAGAAGCCATACTTGTCTTGATGGTGTCATCTTTCATGCGAGGCTTCAGAAGTTGCTTGGTGAATATTCGTTCTGTTGGGCAGCTGGGATGAGTCACATTACATGCCTCTCCCAGCAGACACCCTTAAGGCTGCTGAAAATGTGTGCAACACTCTGGTGAAACTCTGGGGTTTTAAATTTAAAACCAAGACAGGAGGACAAGGAAAAAATGTCCTTTTTGGCTGGTGATGTTAATCCTGCACAGTGGTCGGGATAATTATATTTCTGGGACTACAAAACCAGGATCACAGTTTAGAAAAATTTGGTGGGGACACAAGAGAGAGCCTTCTCTGTTGCTGCTCCCAGACCCTGGAATTCTCTCCCACACGAGGCTAAAATTTAAAACCAAGACAGGAGGACAAGGAAAAAATGTCCTTTTTGGCTGGTGATGTTAATCCTGCACAGTGGTCGGGATAATTATATTTCTGGGACTACAAAACCAGGATCACAGTTTAGAAAAATTTGGTGGGGACACAAGAGAGAGCCTTCTCTGTTGCTGCTCCCAGACTCTGGAATTCCCTCCCACACGAGGCTAAACTGGCCCCATCTTTATTATCCTTCCACAAGCAGACAAAAAGCTTTATTTTCAGGCAGACTTTCCCTCAATGACTGGCTATCGAGTGGGTTTGTTTGAATATGTTTTAGTGTTGTTTCTGGGTTTTGTTTTGTTTTGTTTTTTTTGGGCATTGCATTAATTTATCCTTTTAGTATACTCATCATTACTAACATAAACACTGTCTTTTAATTGTAAACTACCTTGGGTTCTTTTCAAGGAGAAAGGTGGGTTGAAATCTTTTAGAGAAATAATAAATAAATAAAAATTAATTCCAGGTACCTACACAGTTAATTGTACTCTGGCTGACATTCTCTCCTCCATATGAAAAATAATAGCAATTTTGAGGATCTGGGATTCAGATTTGAAAAGTGGTCCTGGTATCATCTGAGTGGGTAGATCCCTTCTTCTCCCAGTGTTGCTACAAAAGATGTTGACAGGCGGAGAAGTTGTTTACATTTTTTTTTTGGAAGGGACAGGCAATTGCTTGCATAATACAGTACCAGGTTTGTCTTGAAATGTTTACATTAGTGAGACACCCATTTCCTTCCTGCAGGAAATGTTGCTCTGGGATGACTCGTGATTATGATGATTTAACAGAAATCTTTAGTAGTACCCTCACTTATATTCAGTTCCCGGGATTTTTTGGAGGGCAGGAGTAGCAGTTGGGAAAAAGCTTCAAAGTGAACCAGGTACTGTATGTACCATGGAGACCTGCAACAAAATGTTGCAGTTCAATCCTTCCTTTAAAAGGGTGCTTCTATTCAGGGCTCAAGCCAGCCATTCCAAGAATAACATTCACCCATCTGCTGCTCTGTGTTCTCTTTTGGTGTTCCAACGGTCGCTCTGCATTTTGGACCTACTGAATATATCCAGTCCAAAAAATACGTGTTTTGAGGGAGGTTTCCCTTTCACATTCCCCACCACCACCAAAAAAAGTGTGTACTGGATTCTCCATGGCATGCAGATACCTCCCACTTCTTTCCC